CCTCAAGATGTGCTGTTAAAGTTGATCTTCGTAAAGCTTTTGATTCGGTTGATTGGGGATATTTGATGGTAGTTATGGCCAAAATGGGTTTTCCAGAGAGGTTCTTACAGTGGATTAGAGCTTGTTTAAGCTCTGCTACTTTTAGTATTTCAGTGCATGGAAGTCTATTTGGATTTTTTAACGCTGCTAAGGGGGTTAGGCAAGGGGATCCACTCTCCCCTTACCTATTTACCATTGCTATGGAACCCCTTACAGGGTTGTTAAATCAAGCTGCTTCTCAGGGGGTGCTTCCGTTCCATCCTCAGTGTGAGAATTTGGGTCTAACCCATTTAAGTTTTGCTGATGACTTACTCATTTTTGCTGAGGGATCAGCTTTTGCTTTGAACAATTTGAGATCTATTTTGAATGACTTCTACAAGCTGTCTGGTCTTCAGTGTAATCCGGATAAATGCGAGGTTTTCTTTGGGGGGTATGCCCATCAGTTTAAGCAGAATGCACTTCGGATTTCTGGTTTTAAAGAAGGTACTTTGCCTGTGAGATATCTGGGTTTGCCCCTTCTGGCTGGCAAGCTCTCCAGTAGAGAATGTGAAGTTTTGATTGATAGGATTACAAGCAGAATAAGAAGTTGGAGGGCGAATAGATTGTCTTATGCAGGGAAATTGCAGCTAGTAGAGTCAGTGTTCTATTCTTTACTTCACTATTGGATGGCCATTTTTCTCCTTCCTAAGAAGGTGCTTAAAAGAATTCAGAAAATTTGCTCGGATTTTATTTGGCATGGTGATAAAACGGGCAGAGCTAAAGTGGCTTGGGAGATTATTGCTATGCCCAAGAGGGAAGGGGGACTGGGGTTGAAAGACTTGGTCACCTGGAATGTAGCTGCTATGGCTAGACTTATATGGCTACTGCTCTTGCAAGGGGGTAGTTTTTGGGTTGCTTGGATATCCCGATACAGGTTACGAGGAGATTCTGTTTGGGAAGCTAAAGTATCACAAGCAGGGTCCTGGATCTGGAAACAGATCTTAAAAGTCAGACCATGGCTACAGTTTAGAATGGAGGGATTTCAGGGTGGTGTGACTTGGCTGGGAAAGAAACTGGAAAAGTATTCTGTAACTATGGTTTGGGACACTATCAGGAGGAGGCAGCCTCATGTCAGTTGGTGGAAGGTCATCTGGAATAGGTTTGTGTTGCCTCGGAACAGGGTGCAGGTCTGGCTGATCATTATGGATCGCATTGTTACTAAAGATAAACTTAAGATGTGGGGTAAGATTAATGATAGTTCATGTGTGCTATGTAATGATTTAGAGGAAACAAGGGATCATCTATTTTGCCAATGTCCTTTTCTTAAGGAGTTGGTTGCAGTTTTGTTGAGAGAACAGAGAAGGGGTCCTAGCAGCTGGGCTGAACTGTTGAGCAGTGTTGAAACCAGAGTGAAGACGAAGGGTAGCTGTGGGCAGATTGAAGCGGCGATCTGGTGCTGGTGTATCAGCGCTGTCTGGAAAGAGAGATGTCGAAGAATTTTTGGGGAACAATCTCGCACAGCAGTGGTGTTGGCAGAGCAGTTAAGAGAAGACATCAGATTATACTCTGTGGCATTCCCTGAGTTTCAGTTACTGTTAAGCAATTCTGAGTTTTGTTGTAAATGCTTAGTTGAATAGGTGTTTTGATTTTTGTTTTTGGTTTACCTTGTAAAGGACTGGTGGGAGCAATCCTTTTGCTTGCTGTGTTTTCGAGCTCTTGTGCTAAGTTTAGCCAAGAGGGTGCTTTAATGGAAACAACACTTACCGAAAAAAAAAAATCCAATATGCAAATTTCATGTAAGTATTTTTTTTCTTTTAAAAAATAATTAATATACAAATCTTTTATTTTATTAATAAAATAAGTTAGACCTACATATGCGATTGCAAGTTAATTGCATTAATGTAGGTGAATGAAATAAATATTATTTGAATTGAATAAAATTTAATTGACAATAAAGAACAAAAATACTATTGCTTTTGCAAGCAATTGGGAACTTATTAGACCTAAGCAGCAACTAGCTAGTGCAGCTGCTATGGAAAGGAAATTCAAGCTATTCCTCGGAACAGATTTATGGTCTGGCTGATTGTTAGTGGATTAGACTATACAAGTAATCTCTGTTTTGAGATTTGTATGCAGGGATTAGAATCTTGTGAATTGTGATAATCTATTTGCAGAATGTGACTATTTCAGGGATCTTTTCAGCAAATAATTCGGTAGAGTCTCTTCTCAGCATCGATTTTGATTAGACATGATAATGAGACCGAATGGGTAATTTGACCCAAATGTCAATGACTCATATGGATATTGGGTCGGACCCAAATAGACCCATATACCTTTTTTAGGATTTTGGGAATGAATTGAGTTTGAATGGGGTAAATTCATTTGGGTACCTAATCCAAGGCCTCCTTCCCACATCTTACCAACATGGTATTTCAAGAGCTTCTCTTGGTTCCTTCCCCTTTCATTCCCATTCACAACATTCAAAATCCCAACAGATATGCCCCAAAAGCAAAATTAGCCAAACTTGATTTGATCCATATTAAGTTGGATTTGGATAATACCCAAACTTTGAGACCCAAGTACCGTCCGTAATCCTGATCGATTCGAGTTGGAATGTGGACCTGATGTGGGCAACCGAAGAGTGGGGAATGAAGACTAACGTAGCTGTAGTAGGAAGGCTTGAGTGGCAATTTCTGCATTATGGAATGTATGTTGGATAAAGCAAGAGATCAGCAAGTACTGATGAAGTTGATCCAATCGGAAGTTGCAGTTATGGTTAACACCTCTGACTTGTCAAGTTCTTGGTATGGTTGGTGAGTATCTTCTCTAACTTTAGGATGCTTGGGTTCTTTACTAAGTAAGTATCAGGTGAGAACGTATTTAATATTTTGAATGAGGATTTGGTTACCTCCTTGGTGGTGAGGATGCCTTATTTGGCAAGGGTTGTTGGATTCTTTCGATGAAATGAGAATTATCGATTCATAATAAATAGTCAAAATTATTCATAATTTCATAAAATAGCTAATTTTTTTAGAATGTTGGAAATTTTAGTGATACATTAATTTTACATGTGAAATGGCTGACCGAAATGGTGACATGAACAAAAATATTTGACGTGTTAAATATAATTTTTTCAATGAGATTTAAGGATAATTTACAAATCTAAATTATTTATCATCCAAATTAATTATTAAAGAAACAAACAAATGACGTGTTCAAACTTTCAATCTAGCGGAATGAGATATCATTAAATTTTTTGCTTTAGTGACTGAATCCTTTGAGATTCATTTGATATCACTAAAGAGATTTTGGCCCTTGATTACTTAAAAATCTTATGGTTGTAAATAATTATATACTTTCAATTATTTTCCCATTTTTTCCTTTCCAACATTGTGTCTCCTATTTGTTCCTTCATTCTCTCCCACTTGCTGGGGCTAAATTTAGCTGCAACCCGTACAGCAGCCCACCGCTGCAACCTTCCCACATGGCGGCCAAAGATTTGACTGTTTTTGCTGATTCGCCCTTTGGGTTATGAATTCGAATTATGGAATTGGAAGGTTTGCGTTTCTGGATTTAGGTTTCGACTTTGATAAACTGCAGATGAACAAAACCATGCAATGAGTGAACTATTTATATATGTATAAGTACTACTGGATTAAGGAAAGAAAGAATCGAATACTTATCTCGAATTCTTGATCTAGGAAAGAAATCATTTGCATGCACGATTCTAGTTGTGTGTTTCGGTCAATCGAGACATTTTCGATGACTGGGGGCTTAATTCAGGGTAAGATCCAGGGTTATTGATGCTGGTATCATCAATTTTGGTGGGAAATCAGTAGAGAAAGGAGGAGATTTCGTCGGAATCGTAGGGATTTGCGGAGAGAAATGGTTGATTCGATGAGTTAGGGTTGAGAGGAAATCGAGAGAAGAACGGCGGTTGCGTGGTGAAAATGGCTTCTGAAGACTCTAACCCCAAAATGGAAGTTTATATGTGGATGCCAAGTGACGCTGTTTTGCTATCGGGTCGGGTACGGTGCGGGGATCACAAAATCCACCCCCAGCCCGTCACCGTCTTCTGCGGGTCGCGGGTACGCCCAAAACTGGCCTAAATCTTCGCTCTTCCACTACCGCACTACGTACTGATCAAGTCTCAGGTTGGTCCCTGCTAACGAAACAATAGTCATTGCTAACTATTGTATGATGACCTATTTTGTGGATTTAAAAAGATTAATGAATTAATTTTGTTGTGGAGTTCAATATGAATTTATCATGTCAATGGGTTTATTTGTTTCACAAATTTGTATTGATTTCACAAGTGGCATCTGCAAATGTTGAAAGAGTTATTTTTTTTCAGATTTGGGTTTCATAGAAAATAAGCTGAAGATATAAAAGCATGTCATGGTATTTCATAGTAATTTATACTTATCGGATATTTTCTTATTCACGAATTTTTTAATAATATTTGTAATTAAATTTTCACGATATTCCAATTCACAAATCCATTTATGTCTATCCAAAAAACTCTTGTCTCTACGAATTACCATCGCTAAACCCAACACATGAATAAATGAACTACGTACGTACGAGTTTAAACCTTTCCAAATGAGAGAATATTCATGCATGCAAAAAAGTATCATTAGACAATGAAACGTAGTTTCCTTGTACCCACGATGTTACTCATCGCCACTTTAACTCAAGTGTGGTACGTCGGATTTATTGCATTATCATATATATATATATATATATATATATATATATATATATATATATATATATATATATATATATATATATATATATATATATATATATATATATATATATAAGTAGAGATGCTAAGATGCATCTTTTAACATAGCCTTCTACATATATGGCGGCTAGATTCTATCCAGCCGCCTTGGCATATATGACCCGCACCATGATAAACAGGATCGACCAATAACTATATATCGATCCAGTCATCCACACATTAAACAAACAACCTAGTAGGGTTTCTGGCCGACGTAGTTCCCCGGTGGGTTGTAGCTGCAAATGACGAAAGTGCCCTGGCCGCCGCTACAGTTAGCCTTGGCGCACCCAATGCCGGTGGAGCTCCTCCACACCACCTGAGTATAGTGTCCGCACTGCTTCCCGGGGGCGCAGCCGTTGGAGTTGTAGTCGTAATCGGCCTTCTCGCCGACCCACATTGCCACCGCGTCGGCACCGGAGAGCTCTCCGCTGCTCCAGGCGAGGTTCTCGCCGTAGGGTCCACCAGAGTGGACGAGGCGGCAGTCTGCCGCGGCACGCTGGTCGGCGTAGGACTGGGCGTAGGACGCAAGCCTGGCGTCCCAGGACACGGGGGCGACTCCGACGGCGGATCGGGCGGCGTTGTGGGCGTCGACGTAGTCTTGCGGGGAATCTTGGGCAGTTGAAGGGAAGGTCAGTGATGCCAAAGTGATTGTTGTGATTATGAGGAGGATGGAGGTAAAGGAGGGAGAAGTGGCAGCCATGATGCTTAACTTTAAGTTCTTGATCAGCTATGGGAACAAGAAAGGACGTTGTGAATGGTGATGATGGATGTGAGAAAGGGAGGATGCCCTAGCTTGGAAATTTATAGCCGTGGGAGAGTGATGAGTCGATGTGAGAAAAGACAGACTAATAGCTGATGGGAATGGTAAGCAGCCGGCAGTTAGTGTGGAAGTTATATTTTTTCCACGGAGAATTTTCTATTTCTTTTGGCAACATTAGTAACAGTAACACTATGTTTCTGTTGGATGGGTATATCGGGACCAGATATTGCGAAAAAGTTAAACTACTCACAAAAAAATACTTACATGGCTTAAATGGGTAAAGAAAAAAGGCAAGTGATGGCCTCATTAAATTCCCAACCATTTTTAACTCTCTAACCCTCTTTCTCTCTCTCATTTTTTTCTTTGTTTTTCCGTCTGTAATGGATATTGGTCAGTGATAGATTGTTTTTTTATGTACTGATATTAGTATGTGATTGTAGAATATAATGACGTTCATGCAATGAATATTAGTTTGTGAAGTAATGAATATTGTCTTCCATCAAAACTAAACACACTATCAAATCCTAACACATAAGGCTTGCAACCTTAGTTAGGGCCGCCCGCCGAGGGCCCATTGGCCTTCGGGCCATGAAACAACAATATTTGTTTGCAATGAATAGATATTAGTTAAGGTGGTTCGGATATGTGTAGGTGGTACTAGTATGCGATGGACATATATTAATCTGTGTGGTGGGTATCAGTTTGCGATGGTCAAATATTAATCTGTTCGTCGTGGGTATTTGTCTGGGATTGTCAGATATTAGTCTGTGTGAGGTGGGTATTAGTCTCTCTGGTGAGGATATTAATTATGGACTGACTAGATTGGTCTTAGAGGATATTTGTTATGGTCAACGGATATTATTCTGGGTGGTTTGGATATTTGTTTTGTGTGGATGTGTTATTCTGACGAAGTGATGGAAAGAGAGGATGAGACTCGCAGATGATTTTTTTTATTTGTGGGCCCCTTTCCTCTGTAGCTGGATAGTGAGAATGGGTCAGCCTTTTTTTAATTTGTGGGCCCAGTGCAGTCAAAATCGCGCATTAAAACGTAAAAACTTACATTTTTGAGTATCTAGGCCACCAAAACGTTTAAGTTTCTACCTAAAATCGCTTAGTCACAAAAATTGGTAAAAACATGGGTAAAATCGCTTAAAATTGGTAAAATCGCGATTCCGAAGCGTTTTTATACGATTTTGATAATCTCATAAAAATGTGCTAATTGGCCCAAAATGATGTAATTTTGGAGACATAACAGCAAAAAATAAAAAAAGGAAAACATGATTCATCACTCGTTCTACAACTAGTGTCGAGATAGGGGCTTCACATTAGGTTGAAAAGGCACCTAATGGTATTCTCAACGGTCGCTAACCTTCTATCAGTCTTCTCCCTTAATCTTCACATGTGGCTCTTACCTGGGTTATGATAAAAGTTTATGGGTAATTGATCGTATGTAATTATGTAAACTCAAACCAGCTTATGAGAATTTGGATCCTCAAGCTCGTTTATGGGTTACGATCTACGTTTATGAGCTTATTATTAAGATGTTATGAGTTTTCTCTACTTTTGAGTCAACACAAATTAGTTTATGTGTTAGATATTGCATTTTAATTATGAATTTCATGTAGTTATTCACTTATCTAAAATCTACACACTCACATTTTACATACTATATGTTGTACTTAACATATTTTTAGCTATTTTAGAGGGTGCGTCAAAAACTTACGCTTTCACGCTTTGATTCTACGTTTTATGATTTTACCCATTTTCCACTTTTAGGTAGAATCGCGCTTTTAACTGCATTGTGTGGGCCTCCTTTTCTTTGTCCCTATGAGTATATACTCACAACTTAAGTAGGATAACTAGATTGCTGATATGGTGCTAATTCTATTAGAGGTTAGTATAATACTAATTATGAGTTGTAGTAGTTCGCTTCGGAGTTGTAGTTTTATAGCAACAAATAAACACACAACTAAAAAAAACTACTGTAACTATGGTTGTACTGCGTCGGAGTTATAAATTCCTATAACAGTAAAAAAAATGATGATTGAGACTCCAAAAATAGTAACTACGATTATAATTGTAGTACAACAAATCTTGATTAGCATGTTACTTAACTCATCTTATGTATGTCTCCAGTGGGGGATCCAGGGAGCCGCCATCCCTCCTATGGATTCAGAGCTAGTATAGCACTTGTAAATTTTCAATTTTAGCTATTTGTTTTAGTGCTCGTCGAGTTACGGCCCAGTCTTGTTCGTCTCTTTTCAAATGTGACCTAGTGCTCTACCATATCCTGGATTCGCAATGTCTTTGTATATATTCACTCACGATGAAGTTTGACGGGAAAGTGTTGCGGAAAATCGATGGTATACCACTTAAATGGCCAACCTCTAGGGTCATGGCAAAGTGGTGGTACCAGAGAGAGCTAATTAAGCGATGAAGTTTGATGGGGAAAGTGTTGTGGAAAATCGACCGATGTTGTCTTTCACCGGGGAAGGTGCCGACTAATAATTTCCAAAGATGCTTCTTTCTTGTTTACATGTAGCAAGTTGTGGAATTCCATGCATGCTTTGAGCCATCAGCTTGTTCGTCTTTGCACGTTATTGGGGCGATTCAAATACTAAATAGTAAATATAATGAAAAAGATATTTGTAAATAAGTACTCACTAGACTTCATTAGACCGAGACGGAAAGAATTCATACAGATTTGGTTCAAAGCGACAATTAATATTGTACTAATTGAACATTTAATTTTATTAAGTGGTATTTGAGTCTGATTTCTTAGTGAAGATATGAGGTGGTGGACGTCAGTTTGATGCACCATCATTTAATGATGACCTCGGCATTTGATATATAACTTTGTTTGATTACCATATCAAATAGATATTTGTATATGAAATGTCCTTGCACCGAAGATCCCGTTTATACACGATGTCCCACAGACCAAATAATCGTTGATGGGAGGATCATTATGGAGCAATCCAAGTAACAAATTATAAATATAGAAGAGGAAAACTCCTTATATATAAGTGTCCATCAAACCCCATTAGTAAGAGGCATTTGGCCAAGTGGTATTAGAACATGATTTGGTGTTTCGGATATACCCCGGTCAAAATGTCTTCCAGACAAATTTCCGCCATATATGCCATGCGGCATGCGGTCCAGCTCTCTTACTTTGACTGGCCTAGCTTCACTGTTTAATGTGGCAAAAAATGGAGCTCATTTCACGCACTTACCTTTGATCACGGGGTGGTAATTGATTCAAAAGTGGTGGTGGCTAACCTCGGTAGTTAGTAATTCATTGGCAGATATGGATCATGGGTCGAGTAAACAACCAGTTCACAAACGTTTGGTGTAGTACTGCAAATTGTTTATAGAAGTGGTTTGTATGAGTCAAAATGCAAATGTATGATGCCTGTGTATCCGAAAATTTTGGGAATAAATATGATTGTAAACATTTACGAGTCATCTGGATATATAGAGCAAAGTGCTAGACCCTTGGGACAAATTTGTGCACCCGTCGGACAATTTGGAATTTTTTTTTTAGTCCAATGGCGACTCTGGATTAGGGCCTCAGAGGCAAGTTTTGGCTGGCCAGATGCGAGATTGGGACTGGACAATGGTGGCTTTTTAATTTATATTGATCGGCAGCAAGCTGTCCAAAATCCGATATTGGTTTTTGTGGGGAGTGGTAAGTGAACTTTCTAAACATAAATCATAATAGTATTAGCATGGATCTTAGAATTAGATGATTTCACGAATCGGTAATAGATCAAGGAAACCTACCTCGATCCACGACGAGAGCGGCGGCGGCGGTTTGAGTAGTAATCACCGGAATTGAGTTTCTCCCTCTTGACCCCTTTAGGTTTTAGGTTTAGAGATTTCTATGACGGCTAAGAAATTCTACGTAATGGGTTGAGAGAGGACCAATCCTAGAGTTTCTTTATATAGACCCACCATCAGGGTATATTAGGAAATTACCTTTCATTAACCTAACCAATATATGACTTACCTTATATATTAAACCATTAAGTGATAATTACACTTGGGCCACAATTATTCCCTAGTGATCTATACGGGAATTGGGCTTACATTCTCCCACTTGGCCCATGTGTCATTATATATCACAAGATCTAATAATAAACATAAGTGTGCACATCATAAGATAAGCTAGATTAGGATCATGGCGGTTCTATATCAATTTATCGACCTAGTCCCTTCCATGTACCACAAAACCAGTTTCATGCTCAATATGACACATAACAAGGTATTCATAATGGTCCAACAATAATGTCTTTCCTAAATACAAAAATCTTGTTTTGTCCACATAATTCATAATGTATATATACTGATCATAATAAACAAAACAAGATTCATAACTTTATTCCAGAAACAAAATAAATGAGCTCAATGTGTCAATTCATGAAACATAAAATAACTTTAGTCATGACGTCCTGTAATCCCCATCCTTTCGACATGTTCAGTAAATTTCTTAGGAGGCAATCCTTTTGTTGATGGATCAACAATCATAAGCTATGTGCTAATATTCTTGATCGACACCCTTTGTTTCTGAACTTCTTCCTTAACGACAAAGTATTTCACCTCCATATGCTTAGCACCCTTCGAATACTTGTCATTCTTAGAGAAGAATACCGCTGCGGAATTATCACAGTGAATTTTCAGCGGCTTGGCGATAATGTCGACAATTCCAAGTCCAAAAATAATATTCCGCAGCCATAAACCATGATTCGTAGCTTCATAACAAGCTATGAATTCAGCTTCCATAGTAGATGTGGCAATAACAGACTGCTTCGCACTCTTCCATGAAATTGCCCCTCCGGCTAGAAGGAACAAATAGCCAAAAGTAGACTTCATGGTGTCTACACATCCAGCATAATCTGAATCTGAATATCCAATCACCTCAAGGTGATCAAATCTCCTAA